GCCTTCCTGGTGTACGCCAGCGTGCTGTGCGAGAAGCACCCGGCGCGCTGCGGAGCCATGTTCAAGTACCTGGACACCATCCGCAAGCTGCACGCCACCTACGGGGGCACCTCCTGGATGAACTACGACGAGGACTTTAGGCGGCGGGCGGCGAAGAACCCCTCTCTGCCCTGGGGTGACGTCGACCTGGACCTGTGGATGAAGTGGATGGCGCCGCTCAAGTCGCTTGTCCCCAGGCACTCGCGGATTGAGGGCGAGACACAGCCCTCGCCGGCCCCGCCGCCCCCGCCGGCGCAGAGCCCCAAGCAGGAGGAGAAAAGCCAGGTGTGATGAGCCGATGGCCGCGTGTTTTCCCGCTCCGCTGGCTGGGCATGGTGCCCCCTCGGAGGGGAAGAGGAGGAAGGGGCAGTTGGGGTGCCCATGCATTGGTCAGCGGCTCCAGTCTCACGGCGCTGACCCTTTGCTCGTGTTGACCATAGGGACGTGGTATCACGGGTGCCCGGCTGGCCACCGGCAGAGATGTGGTCGTTGATGGACGCTGAGTAAATAACTGTAGCCTTTATTGCCCTGGCCACCAGGAAACAGGAACTGCACTAGTTCCCTCCCCCGATACATAACTTCATCTTCCTGAAGACATTATAAAAAAGATGTGGTTTTATTTTTTACCTCTGAGTTGTCTTTAAAAAAAATAAGTTTCTCATCAATACAGTTCTTTGTATGTAAGACAAAGCATCCAGACTCTCCTGTTACTATGGGAGCATGTGGGTAGTTGCAGGCTGTGTGGGAGGGCAGCAAAATTGATGTGAATAAAGATAAAATTCAGTATGAATGACCACAGCTTGCAAATGCACTGTGATTTGAAGATCAAACCTCGTTTGGGACTCAGGAGATTTAATATACAAGTTATCACCTGTTTTGTGGGAAAAGATGGTGAGTGTGATTAGGGAAAGTGAGGGAGGATTTTATTTATTTTTTTTTTTGCTTTCAGTAGAGGCATCACTGAGTTCCTCTAAACCCTGGTGCACACAGGCAGGTCTTCTGCTGCCTGAGGCATGACGCTGAGCTCTACAGCTACAAAGAGCTTCCTGCCTATATTAGGGGTTGTGCTGCTTCTCCTACTCTGGTGGCTGTAGTCTGCCAAATCCCCAGCACAGAAAATGCTGAATGCTGAACATTTAGTTTCATGCTAGCTGAATGGTGGTGTAGAGATTCTGTGATACTGGCTATATTTATTTCTAATCAGATTTTTTGGGTCTGTAGGAAGAACCTTTGCATTCCTGTAGAATTTTTGCTAGTTTATCAGATGCTCTGCTTCCTGGGGATTGCCAGCACCGAGTGGCTAAGTTGTTTGACTCTGTTAGCCTGATCTGGGAAGGGAGGATCCATTTTCAAGGCATCTGGACGTGTTTGGTGTGTCACACCAAGTCCTGACTTTTATACCTATTAAAAGTGACTTCACTAGGCCAACTGCTGACAAAGAAAGGGAGTAAACACCACACAGTAATATAGATAAACCCAGGTCTGTTGGCCTTGGGCCTTCTGTAGTTGATGCTCTATGTTCCTGCAACTTTTTCCAATATCTTGTTTATATTTCTCCATTCTCAAGAACAACAGCTCAGTTCTTGTTCTCCTACAGATCTCAGTTGAGCACCAGATGAGCAATGGCTTATAACTTTCATCTCATCTGAGACTGGACCTTCAGCTTGTCATGTTACCCACTCTTGTAACTTCTGCAGCAGCTGGTCTGTCAGTGCAGACCTTTGATCTGTTGTCTGTTGAGGCACCAGAGGTCTCAATCCCCTTTGATTTCATGGAAACTTCCCAACTGATTATTAGCAGTGGCATTGATACGTATTTCTTTTCCCCCCAGAAAGTGTGTAAAGGAAAAATGTTTAACTAAATTACAAAATACTGGAAGTTTAATCTTTGTAGAAAGAGTAGTGCTTTAGCAGCACAATTAGAAAGTAAAAGTTTTGCAATTGTTCAGTGTGGTTACAACCACTTTTCTATTATTAGAGCAGTTTTTAATTGGTAGTGCACAGTGTCTTATAACTGCTTAAAAATGTCCTTAACTGAACTAAGGGTTTGAGCAGCTGTTAAATGTAAATGAGGCCTAGGATAAAGCATGAGTTTATCACTGGCAAGGCAGCAGCAAGGAAATGTTTTCTTGGAGGTGACTTCTGTGTTTCCCCCACACCTCCCCAGTGCCTTGCAAGCTCTGACTATGTTGTGTAAAACTACTTCAGTAAAATAAGATGTGACATCACACTTGGGCAAAAGAATTGGAGAATTAAAATGGGAGAGAATAGCCTTTTATGGGCTTACAACTTTGGCCAAAACCTAAGCTTTTCCACATTCATGCTGTCAAGAGGAAGAGGAGGTGTTCTACAAAAACATTTTCCAGATTGTTAGTTTGAACTGATTTTGGTTCTGTAATTTCAACAGATAGCATTAGGCAGCATGACTGAATTTCATTTCCCCTCTAAGTCAAAGACGGGAATTTCAGCGTCATTTAGTTTAGTGACTGTATCTCTGGTTTTGCATTTCCACAGATGGTTAAACAGTAAAAGTCAATGTAAACAAAGTGTCTGTCTTCTGAAGCTATCTGTCCTTTCTAAGGCACTGGTGAAGAGCTGTATCTTTGCTTTACGTGGAAAGAACAAAGTGAGAAACCCTAGTTTTAGTTTGAATGTGGTAATTGGCATGTATGTAGGATAGCTGGTATTCATTCCTGCAAATTTGTCTGTATATATAACTTCAGACAATTCTCTTTTTTTCCCCAGACTCCATGAAAGCAGAAGGCCAGTTGGGATGGCAGTCAGACTAATTGGGTGAGTTTATTTATAAAAGTGACTAACTTTGGATCTTAAATATTTGCAGATTTGTTAAATACAGAATTTTTTATTGGTGCCAACAGCCTGACTCCGTTGGTGTTTAAGTGGAGCTCTGGTATTCTAGTGCATTCTTTTACCTCTGCTTCTGTTGCGTTGCAAGCTGTGCTAGAGAAGACGTAGGAAATTCATTTTACCCAATCAGCAATTATAACAATGGACTACAAACCTGCAGAGCAAGCCAGTTTGCTGGAAAACAGGAATTCCTGCAGCGCAGCACTTGTCACAGACTATCCAAAGAGGGCAAAGATTCAGGAAGGTGAATAAATTGAACATTGGTTGAATGAGGTCAGGAACAGTCTCCCGGAGGAGAACCCTGCTCTAAAATACTACTTTGAAAGTAAAAGCCAATTTAATGTGCAGATTAAACCTTCTCATTTGACCAAACTGTGTGCAATCCTGGATCTTTGCAGATCACAACCGGACACTTCAAAACCTTATGTATTATATTTGTTTAAAAAAAAATAAATCATAACTTGTCTTGTTACAGCTGTTACTTTTGCCATTTCATTGAGAATATTTGCAACATAAATGTGTATTTGACTCAAAACAGTATCATACACTTGCTATAATAACTCAGGTTGTCAACAGAATTATTCTGTTAGGCTCAGTATCACCTCTCCATTGTTCTTTAAAAAATGAGTTAACCATTGCTGTCATTGCCAGATAGCCCAACTGTGCATTACAAAATTCTTCAGCTATAGTAATTGACCTAAATTATAATTTTGTTTTTATTCTTGTTAGAATACTTAAGATCCTGAACATCAGACTACACCTTTGTAGTCTGGTGTTCATGAAAATTATGTTCGCTGGTTCATGGTTTAATCGTTCTGCATCTCAGTGTTTTGTTTTCTTTTCCTTTTTCCTTGCATACTAGGGGTTATGATCAAGGTAATACTATGATCCAGTAACACGCATGATGGTAAGGGTTTACCTTTAGTTGTTTCAGGAAAAAGTTGCCATTATCTCCTCTCCTTTACCTTTCTCGATAGTTCCAATAATATGCGTAACATGGAGTGTTTGTAAATTAATATCAAACTGTTTGTGACTTCACCTAAATAAATTTTTATATTCAAATGCTGTTCTTAATCTTAGTGGTTTTTCCTCCTTTGTTCTTATATTGCCACTTCCCTTTTGTAATCACTTTTCTATTACCTGACCTTTTTACAAAATTTTTGGTTTTCAGTTAGTAAAGCACAACCAAATTTTAACTGTGAAGAGAAAACAGCCTTTGAAATTTGCTTCCAATATTTTGTATAAAGACTTCATAACGTAACTGTAGTTGTTGTAGCTTATTCATCTGCCACTTGTTTAGACAGTGATAGGTATCAGGCCTTGACCTGTCTAAAAATGAAATAACTGCTGTGCTAAAATACCAGTATTTTAATGGCCCCCGAACTCAAACTGATCCACTGAGATTCCTGCATTCAATATGGTAGAATATAGAGCACTTTTACAGATGGAATTACAAGTTTCAAAATTCCTTTTCATTTTTGAGAAGAGGCTTAAGCTCAATCATCAGATCATTCATGTAATTTTTCCCTCGTCCCGTTGTCTTAAGAACTCAGAATTTGGTTACTCACTGGTCTGTGCTGCGTTTGTTACCGTCATTGCTACGTGAACTACATGCCTGCTCCATCACTGCAGGCATCTCCTCCTGAGGAAGTGTTGTAACAGTGGCAGGAGTTGGGGAGAGATGTGGGAGAGGGAGGGAATGAGGAAGGATGAGCAAATACTGGTCTCTTCTGTCTCCCTCATGAATTGTTCAAGTGTGGGTCTTAACCTACTGACTCAGAGCAGCAAAGCAGCAACAGTTTTGGTTTTTGTGTCCTATTTGGGAGCAGCATACCCAGCTGGAGTCTGAAACACTTCCTAATGTTCTTTAATGAGTCCTTCTGCCAAGAAATTTTTGGGTTTTTTGTTACTCTCTCCAGCCTTCATAGTCTGGTGCTCTTCCTGGCACTCTGTCACCTCCCAGTTTCCTGGTTGCTACTGGTGCTGAGTTGGACCACCCTGTCTGCTATGTCTACTGTAGACAATTGCCAGAGCTTTGTCTTGCTCTCCAGTGTCAGTGGCTGCTTTAAACTTGCTGCCTGCTTTCATAAAGAAACTTGAATTTCACGCAGTGCTGTTTTTACAACATGTGGGACCTCCCCCTTCTCCCCTTGTTTTTTTCCTTCTTCATCACTCTCTTTGAGCCACACAGTAATTTCACTGTGGTACTTGTGCATCCTTGCTTTGGGGTTTATTGTTGCACATGTGCTTTCCCCCTTATTGGTGTGCTGCAACCTTCTGCATGAAACTTCCTCGTACACTAGTTTCTCATTAAAAGTGTTGGGCTTAAATAGGTTTGTTCAAATTTTAACAGTTAGTTACTGCACGGGTTTGCCTGTGTCCTTGACACCCAGTGAATCTTATCTTTACAGCTCCTGATGTCCCGTCCTTGTTGAGTCAGCGTGATAGCTTACGAAAGGGTGGTGCCAAATCTGTTCACCTCTGATTTATGAGTAGATTTTTTGGTGATTGGAAGCTAAACTTGCTGTCATTTACATGATATGGCAGGCAGCATGAAGAATTTGAAGATTTTTACAAAGGTGCTGCAAAGCTTTTCACCAAGACATGGAATTTCCAGTAGGGAGTACTTGTGAAATGCATGGGAATTGATTTGTTTGGGAGGACGACCAGCATCTTATGGAAAAATAGTTTTCTCTCAGTTGAGTAGAATCAAGGAGCATATACTTTTGGGGAGTAATTTCAGACAAGTTTATTTTTAGGGATTTCTAGCAGGATAGGATTCTTTTTCACAGATGTTCTTTTTCGTGTGCTGGATTGATACACATTGTTGCAAAGAACAAATTAAAACCAGTGCAATGTGACTGACAGCACAAAATGTGTTGCAATGTAGGATTGAGACTTAATTACCTTAGTCTTTATCAAGCTTTAACAAGAGTTGAGCTTCAGCAAAAGTAGACTCAAATTTCTAAATTTCTCAAATTTCTAGATTTCTACTCAGAAGTAGACTCAAGTTTCTAACTTCCACCTGTGTGTAGCAGTTCAGTTTGAGATAGTTGAAATATCTTGAAAACTCAATGCTGTTACTACTTTTGGTCATAATTATGTGTCTTTAAAGGTAAGATGTCAGCAGAATATTTTGCATGTGGGGTAGCCTGTCGCATCTGCAGTTGAGCAAAATCATTACTTCTGATCTCAGATCTGCCAGTTATTCAGTGTGACTTCCAATTTAAGCTTAAAACATTGCTTTCCCATCTTCTGCTGTCTCCTATCATCTTGCCAACTTAGTAATCTTCTTTATAAGAATCTAGTGAGCACAGCAAACATGTTCTGAGGGTCAGCTGTGGGATCAGGCAGCGTCTGACCAGCCTGTCTGCATGTACAGAACCTTTCACCCCCGTATAGGTAGCTCTGTGACGGTGGTGGTCTCACATTAAGGAAGTCAGGCTGGATGGAGTGCACACAGGAGACTCCCCAGCTACCTGCAAGGCTTGTGGGTTTTTGAGAAGCCAGTGGCATTGGCAACAGGTTTTTCTGTCCACTCCTCTGGTAAAACCAAAAGCCCCAGAGGCTGTTGCAACCATTGAGGGGAGGGATGTGACTCAGTTCTAACAGCCTAGGAGTTGGTGGAAATGTTGCCTTAGTGATCAGCTTCTTTTTGGGTTATATCCTTAACATATGCTACAACAACTGATAGTATCTATGGAATACTTTTGGTAGTTCTTTCTGCAAAGAAAACACAGCTGGAGAAATCACAAAGCTAGATGTTACTTTTCCCCTCTTAGTTTGGCACTCAGGTTTGTCTTTTTCCCTTTTCACGAAGTTCAGCATGCATCAGCCCAGTCCAATAAAGGACACACATTTTTATCCATAAAATCTTCTGGGTCCTGCACTTTTTTTTTCTTCCCCTGGGAACTCTCATCAAAACCAGTTGGCATCTTTGCAGTTTAGCAGTTTACTGGGCAATCAGCTAAACAGCAGTGGAGATTTAAAAAGCAGGAACATGTTTATGGTATTTTACATTTTTGTAAACGTGAAATAATTCAGTAAGTACTTTTACCTTTTTTGGTGGTTGTTGTTCTTCCTTTACTTTAAAGAATACTTTCTTTTTCATAATGTCTCGGTGCAGTGTTGCTGTGTCAATATTTCCAAGGCAGCAGGGGAATGTTTACATCCAAACAAAATCTGTTTTCTTCGAATTTTTTTTATTGCAAATATTTGTGTCTATAAAATCCTTTCCATAAAACTTTTTTTTTTTTTATTCTGTGCAAAGTTAAACTTGGGTCACAGTTTTCAGATTTATTTTCTGAACCATGTAATACGAGCGTTGTATCTGAACCTACATCAGCAGGTGTAGAAGGTGCCACTTCTAATGGCAGTTCTAATTATCAGAAGTCGAGTGGTTGTTTAAAAACAGCTACATTGCTTACACTGACTTCACATGTTACAAGCACCGTTTGCATTGCTGATGTTCAAAGTGTCCATAAATATTACCCCCCAATATGAGTTTACATGAAGACAGGAGGCAGTTAAAGAGTTACATGAAGGAAGTAAAGTGTGCTGGTGTGGGTTGGTGGGGCTGCTTCGTGGATAAGCTGCAAGATAACGTGGTGGCAGAGGACCTGGGCTGTGTGTTCCCTGTAGATGTGCCTGACACAAACAGAGGCAAGACATGCCCTTCAAAGGTGTAACATGGGCCAAGAGCTCGTTTTCATACCTCCTCTGCCTAAACTTCCCGCCTTCCACTTGGGTGCTTTGGCACGTGTCTTCCACCATACCTCCCTTGTTTCTGCTCTTGGGTTTTTTTACTTTCTAACAGTGAAATGTCATTCATGTGAGTGTTTGGAATGAAGAAATACCCCTGGGACATGCAGATGGTTCCCTACTGTCTATATGTTTCCTGTGGATGATCTATGCAGTGCTAAGGGAAAAGATTTTTTTCTCCAATGACATTTATACAAGTACTTAAGAGAGGTGCTGGGATTCCAAATGTTAGCAACTGGATTCTGGAGAATAAAATAAGATCAGTTGGAGGTGGGGAAATTTCTGAGAGTGTCCTTGCTCAGGGCATGCAGGTGTGTATCTTGCTGCACTTGGTGTACCTGGGGGTAATGGACTTGAAGCAGTAGGCTTCTTGAAGTGCTGTGGGATTGGGAGAAGCATTTAATTTTCCTGTTCTCTGTCATTTTCCTTGTCGTTTCTCCCTCACCAACAGTCTTCCAAGCAAGATATGCGACTTTGTTGTCAAGCACTGGACAACAGGGGAAATCTCACTGCTGTTACATTGGGTTGCTGGGAGAAATTAGTGAGTTTATACCTGTAAGATTGTGGGGTTTTTCCAGAAGCAGCACAATAAATTTGGTGGTATTGAAGGGAAAAAGAAAGGGAAAAGAGTGACTTTGAGGGTACCTAGTCTGTCCTTTGCTTTCCCATTGAGGAAGAGAAGATTTAGTTATTTGGCTTAATGTGATATTGACCAGTGGAAAAGCTTTGGGCAGAGTATCTCAGTAAGATTTGGTACCAGAAAAGAAATTATGTGTGCATTGTTACTGCTGCAGGTGCTCTGTAGGCCAATATATGAGTAGAAAAAGGAGCCCTGGCCAGCAGGTGAAGTTGGCCAGGCTGCCTGTGATGTTGACCCACTAAGCCTGAGGGTGTTTCATAGAATTGGTTACAGAATCATGCAGCTCAAGGAGGAAACTTAAGAGAGCACTCTTCTTGTGCCTTAAGAAGCTTTAAAAAAAACCAAACAAACCACCAGAAACAAAACTCAAAAAGTACTTTCATTGTATAACTGGAACGTGCAACAAAAGATATACTTGCAAATGCTTTCTGAGAGGAGAGGAGGTGGTATCTATTATGCACCATTGCCTACACCATGCATTTTCTATTTTGAATATTATGATTGCATGCAAATGAAATGGAGTAAAATTGAATCTTTCAGTACAACTAAGATGGAGAATAATACAATTTACCAGTGTGTTAAGACAAATTAAAATGTTTTGTAGTTCTGTTAATAAGCATTTTTAAAAAAAAGCATTTAAACATTAGTTTATTTGGGACTTTTT